AAAGATGAAGAGGTCTGGCTGTAGCGGGTGGGGAGGAGAGGGCAGGTACTGTGGTGAGCGGGGCCTCAGGCACATGGCTCAGGCTGTTCACTCTTGTCTGCAGCTCCCTGCCTGTGGCAACTGAGAACGTGCAGCACAGAGAGGGAACTGAGCCAGGAGCAGCGCCCAAGAAGAGGAAGAGGAAAAAGCAGCGGGTGAAGGAGTGAAATAACATTTTTAGGACCACACAGCGCTCAGCTGGGAACTCCCCTCCGCTGCCTGAACACAACTAAAGCATATGCCAGCTGCAGCTGTGGTGGAATGGCCTGGGCCCCCCCGATGGCCAGGGAGGGGGAATGCTCACCCCAAAGCCAGCCCTGGGGTGAGACAGCCGAGAAGTCTGCAAACAGTACCGGTGTTCAGCACAACCCCCGTTTCTGCTCCCTGTGGGGACGGAGTGCTCCAGGCTGGATTAAGGGTGTTATTTTACCGTGTCCATTCCCCCCGCCCTAAAAATCCTTACTCGAGGTTTCAGAAAAGCCTTTGACTGTAGCACAAAACAGATTAAAGTGTCTCTCTCTTTCGCTGTCTTTTCCATCATGTTTGTTCAGTCTTGCTCTGAAGGTCCTACTGCTCACAGCAGAGGCAAAGTGGGAGGAAAAAAAGGGAAATAATGATGATGATACTCCTATCCACGCACCTGCCTTTGAACATGGGGAGCAAAGACACACAAGCCAGAGGGCATTGGGAAGTAATGCCCTGCACTGCACCAGCAGCGCCTGCCCCTGCTCAGCCCCTGGAATTGAACATGGGCAAGGCAGACCTGAATACAGTCTTTTTATTTTTAAACCAAGGACATAAGAAGCAAGGAAAAAAAAAAAATTAAAAATTGCACATTCACACTAAAATCCTCATCAGCCACACCAGGAATGATCCAAGTCTTCAGTTTTGAGTAAAAAAACTCCTTCCCTGGCCACATACGGTAGCCCAGGCATGAGGGTCGCTCCCAGAGGGGTCTGTGGGGTGGGGAAAGGACACGGCTGGGCTCTGCACAGAGCTGGGCACTT